TCCTTGCAGAGAATTTAGGTAGGATGGGTGAACATTTGAACCAAGAGGCCGGCCATTTACTTAAATCTTCTGGCAGTCTGTGTTCGTCGAGAATGCGCTGAAGAATCGCATTTGGAACGTACCCTTTTCATATCCATGGCAAGTTTGGTGGCGCCTATGCTCACTGTTTGCCTTTTTGGTTGCTTCCAAAAAACGGGGCTTTGACGGCCTGCCACTTTCCTTACAAAAAAGTCGAGGTTGACATTCTTTTTATTTGGTTTTTTCTTCCGAGCAGAAAAGAGTAGGGGTGCAGATTTGATATCCATAAGGATATACAGTTCATCTCCGTGGTCCACGCCCATTACGGAGCCCAAGGGGGCATAGCAGGGATTGGCATAGCTGCTACCCCGACATACACTCGCAGGGGGGCACCATAACACCTCACTCACTCGGGTTCAGTCAAAGACCTAGTGTGAACCCATTGATCGGGAGTGAGTTAGCTCTCGGCAGTCCGTCGAGAAAATACCAAGGTCAAAGCCCGTGTGTTAGACAACGGCGATTGTTACGCCAAATACGGGACGTACTCCTAAGGGCTAAGCAGTAGCGAAATCAGTGCGAGCCCGCCCGCAGAACGATTATCCGCTGCCTTTTTATAAAAGTGTATAGAAAACACCTGTTAGTGCCTTAAATAATAAAAACATCCTTTAACAAATTCATATTCGTCAGTCTACGATTACTTCATAAGAAATCAATGTTATTAACAGACTATATTGGTTTAGAAATAGGGTTACATAAGCTACAAAAGCGGGAAAACATCGTTCTACAATATATATTTAATAACAGAAAAATTAAGTAATTATTAGAAAAATAGTTTTTCTTTATGTGTGCAGTGGCAGCTAATCATAGGATCCTGATAGTGGAAAAGTACTTTTTCTAAATGTCTGTCTGTCCATCAATCTGTTTGTGACCCATGCCAGTGCTGAAACCAAAGTGTATTCCTAAAATGAATATTTCCCAGACATTTCAATTTGACTTGAGGTCCTGCAAATTAAAAAGCATTTTTTAATTTTTCAGAACACTTCACGTTTTCGAAATTTTCTTGAAGATGCCTTGAGATTAAATTTTGCTTCAATAGAATGAAAATAGGAAGGGCTAATTTTCTTTCAAGTTCTCTTAAGTTTCCAAAATCGCAAAAGGTAAACTTTTTTGGACCCCTATATACAAATACTTAGAGAATTTGTTTTTCTTGAATGAAACATTTTCAAAAATTGGATCTAGAATTAGTCCTGAAAAGGGGTAGTTTTCATGGAATTTTAAGTGGAAAAGTTTTTAGATAATATGTATTCAAAACTTTCTGGAAAATGGCACCAATTTTTTTTTTTTTTTTTTTTTTAAACTTCTTGTGGATAGAGAATGCTTTACAGATTTACTTGATATAAAAGTAATTTGACTCTCATGTCTTTGAATTTACATTGTAGTTGTTTTTTTTTCTCTTGTGGTTTCTTGCTGTCTTGCTCAAGAACAAATGCTTGAAATGATCTTTAGAAATCTTTAAAAGATTTTCTGTGAAAACGAGCTCAAAATTGCCCATTTTAAGAAATGCACAAAGGACATTTTCACAAACTGCTCCTTAATTTCCCCCAAAAATGTTGATATAAAAAGGAATTTTGGTCTTCTTCATACTCCCAATAGAATTTCAATTTAACTATTAGTGGTCTGAAAAATTGAAAAAAATTTGAAACAATGTTTTTTGATAATGCACAGCTCCCTCAATATCAATTATTTGGAGGGGGGGGGACTTGAACTATTGCGTTAATTGAGATGATCTGTACATACTTTATTCTACAAGATTTTGTTTAAAGTAAATTTTGTGAAAATTGTTCATTACCAAATGCAGTGTACATAGATTTTAGAGCTAATGTAATTTTGTTTACATTGTTGTTATAGAAACTAATGGTGTCAAATGCCATTGACACAACTAGTTTCAATGTTGCAAAGCATATTACCATATTATTGGTCCCATGCATAAAAATTAGTTTTAGTTATATTATTTTTATTGAATGGTTATATAACTGTAGCCTATTTACAAATAGTCAAGTGAGTCACCTCATGCGTAGTGAAAGGTTTTTCTAACCACACAGACACCAAGTCTGTGGGTTTGAAAACTGTGGGCTGTGAATTTTTTCAGTTTTGATAGCGGTATGTTGAAATTCTTAGTCCCACATCACATCAATACCACAATCTTTCCATAATTGGATTTCTACACTTGGAACATTGGTTCAAGCACCAAAGTGAAACCACAGCTCCCAGTCATATGTGCTCCTTAACACCCATGTAGTGCATCTCCATTTTCAGTTAGGTTGATATGTATTCAAGGGCCACTAGCATAAGATAGTTGTAAAACACCTCTTGCTGAACATAATTGAAAATGGAATTACACCACTTAGGCTTTAAGGGACTCATACATATACGTCATATACGTATTGGTCTCTTAAACGTCCTTTACACTATCAAACAATGTAATGAACTAAGGCTTCCAAATTCTTAAATATCCTGCTTCTATAACAACAGCAATGGAAGGTTCTGGGAAGGGTATTAACAAGATATGCTTTATTTATTTACATCATAAGCAGTTCAAAACCGTGATGTGCTATGGGGAGAAGTTAATTTGAAGTTACATTCATGCTTGATTTGCTTCCTAATCATTCAAATAACGATTCATGTCAAGCATTAACCATGCTTATTTCATTGATCAGCTGGTAGGGGTCAGACGATTTCAAGAAGATGAAGGAAACAATGAGTCTAAACACATGAAATTTATATTTCATGTTTTAATAAATTGATATTGTTATCATTTCCAAATTTTCATAGAACGACATCTACCGATTTGGCCCATCAATATCAGTTTTACAGTAGTATTTACACCCCCAATATTCCTCGAATATGCATGTATCATCCTACAATATGTTTGTATCTTCAGACAAACAAGTAAATATATTATAAGAGAAATCACAATTTTTTGTCTAACTACATCTTCGATTTCATCATCATCTTTTCTCAGGAAAAATCAAGCGTTTTCACTCACAACACGATTTTATAAAATCAAAATGTGCGCTAACTGCCATATTTTCTTCTCTTAAAGATGTTGCTTTATCAATGGACTGAAATGAAGTACCTATTGGAATATATTTAGATCTATCCCCAAAGCTCTTGATGTTATCGACCATAACATCTTGCTATCAAAATTACCTCCTTATGAAATTCGTATCGCCCTACATTGGATAATCTTGTACTTTAAACACCAATCTCCAAGAGTAAAAATACCATACTGGCATGAAAGGCCACTATTTACCTATCTTTCTAATTCTTGTGGGCTCCCACAAGGTTCAATCTTAGGTCCTATCTTCTTTCTGTTATACGTAAACCATATGACCTTGTCTCTTAAAAACTGTTCTGTGTGCTGATGACACGAATGTTCATTGTAAAAAAGAAGCAATAAATAGTACGATTTCAGAAGTATTAAATTGGTTTTGAAATAACAAATTAATAGCTAACAAAGGAAAAACTGTTTCAATGCATTTTTGCATTTCAAATCAGCAATCGCATGCTCCATTGAAAATGAACAATATGCAATTAGCTGATGTTAAGGTAACAAAATTTCTAGGTCTTACAATTCAATCAAACCTCAAATGGAATGTACATATAACAGAATTAAACGTTAAATTAAGTTCATTATGTGACACATTCAGAATTCTTTCAAATTCTGTCAGCCTTCATGCAGCTTGTTGAGTGTATTTTGCAAATGTGCATTCCCGCCTAAGATATGGCAAAATATTCTGGGGAAGCTCATCATGTACTACCCAAACCTTAAGACTGCAAAAGAAAATTATTCAAATAATGAAAAAGTGAGTCAAGGCCCCTATCTCGATCAGGTTTTTGTCCAGTTTCCCTGATCTATTGAGCAAAGAGATGGCCCCTTGTTTTGCTTCTGGACGTAAATGTAGCTTCACTATGCGCATGTTTTCTTGAACTCTCCTTTTGCTTGTAGTAGTGGGAGAAGAGGTATTATTTTGTGAACAATGCAAAAATAAAATCTGGTTTCGTTTACCGTTGCAAAGTTTTCTATAACTCGGCAACAAAAAGGTCTAGTTCTTCAAATGTCGCGCTTGTTTTCAATTATACTTTCATTAATTTATTTATCTTTAACTTTTACTAATCTTCTATTTCTCTTTTAGTTAAAATTATGGTAAGAATTCTGGAAATCAAGAAAATGTGGACAGATTATCTTCTCCCCCTTGCTAACTTTAGAGCTCAATATCTCGAAATGAGTGTCAAAGGAGCTGTACCATTATTAAAATAACGTCTCCATATCATGTAACAGGACCTTCAGGAGTCTAAAGAATACCTCCCTCTGATATTGGGAATAGGGATGCTTCATCAACGTCGATGATTTGAAAACATCCACGATTTGTAAAAACGTCTGTTCGATGCCCGGCAAATACAAATCTGCTTTTTGGACAGAAACAGAGGCCATAAACAAGTGCGGGACGGATAGGGAATTTGGCGAAAGAAGGGAATGTTCACAGATTGCTTCTGATGAAAAACTTAACAACATAAAATTTAGTCCGCAAAACTTTCAAGGGGGCCAGAAAATGTCACAGCATGGAAGAACGACTAAAAAGAAAGTAACATTGATACGCCTGAAGATGATGAGGGTAGTGACCAAAATCATGTTTATGATATTAAGGAACAAGAAAATATTTCAGCAATAAGTCTTTAACACTCATCAACAAGGGTATCTTCTAGTCAAAAAGGCCTGTTGTGAATTTATTTTGACTAAATAGTAGAATTAGTTAAAAATTTAAAACATTCTCAGGAGGCTTTTTCAAAATTTCATATTCAAGGTCGACTTCTATTCAGGTAACTACATTAATTAATAATGAGGCACAGGCTATTTTAGTCTCTCTCTCCCTTCCTCACTCCTGCCCTCCTCTCTTTTTTGAATAGAGAAACACTTAAAATTATAAAAGTAAATAATATATATTTTTTAAGGTAAATTGATACAACACTTACTTCACACCATTAACAATATGTAGCACATTTGATGCATTACATTTCTCACTGATACAAAGTCATGGTCAAGTTTTACACAATGGAATCATTATATTTAAATTTGTAAGTTTTGCATAGTGCATTCTTCTCAGAAAAATGCATTAGCCAAACCAAACAGGATTTGAAGAGGTGTAAATTCAGTATTTCTTAAATCCTTAGCATACATCACAAACTTAAGTACAATATATAGTGTTGTAGTACACTTTTAAAGCAACAAAATTGAAAAATAAATTACTTAAATTGTAGAAACAGAAATCACTTCACTTAATTACAATATACACAATATAAAAAACAAATGTACAGAGAGCCTATAAAATTAAATCGCAAAAACTACACCAAATTATGGAAAACCACATGCTTGTGATTTAAATACCAGTTTCTTTGTTTCAAGTAGTTAACAACCCTTACATCAGCTACTTAAAAAACCTTGCATATGATTAACAATCCTGAGTTTTAAAATATTATCTGGTGGCCCTGAGAAACTGTGTAATATTTATATATTTAAATAGGATACAACTCTATCACAATAAATAATTTTATTGCAAAACCACTAAATTCATACATTACGTTAGTAACAATTTACAGCCAAGACTATACAAAACAGGACAAATATCACAACTAGCTGGCATTTGCCAAACCACAGTATCAAATTTATTGGAGTGCCAAAAAAAATTTCTTGAAGTTCTAATTTTCTAATCCTAAATTATAAGTTGAACAATGAATTCATCCAAAACATTAAAACATAACCTTTATCTACACAATACAAATACTCTTGTTAAAATAGTTCATCACAATGAAACAGTTCATTGGATTTGTCAATACTTTGGTTTTCAAATCTTCTGAGTTGAAAATGAGCTACTTCTGTGTGGAAGAAACAGAACAATGCCTTTTACCATGAAAATGAACTTCAATCCATACATTTCAATATAGATGTTTTACAATCATACTGAAATTCAAGAACAATTAAATTTGCTGCGATGGACCTATTTTCATACCTGAGAACTGAGTCCCTAAAAGCTTCATTATGTCTGCATGTTTAAGGCCAGAATTTTTTTCTTTTGTAGTTTTGTAATTCTCTTTCACATACAAAGCAAACCCAGATACTGCTCGTGGTGTTTTAGGAGAAGACTGCACTCCTGAAGAAGCCGTTTTGGTACTTCGAGGTTTTTTGTTGACAAGTAGATCAAATTCTCCATAACAGTAGCCACAACGTTTACGCTGGAGATCCAAAGATTTGGAATGCCGTCCAAAGCTGTGGACACACAGGTTGACAGTAGAAAACTCAAAAAGAATCAGTAATGGGAAGAAAGATCCTAGCTGATGCACATTGAAATTTCAATTAACTCCCTTTTCCAGGCTCACTAGCACTACCAAAAATCTTACAAACCAGTTAATCTTATTTTCCAAAAATGTAAACATTGTAAGTTCAGTTAATTTAGCATTAAACTCAATTAATACTATAAAAATCAGAATTGCACAAAACTTGAATATTTTGTGAACATACATATTACTTTGAGAATATACAATTTTTTGCATATAAGTTTTATTATTACAATTATTACTTAAATTTTTTTCTACATGATTCAGTAAAATTCCAGTTTCTTTCTGAGGACTGTAACTTTCCTTGATGTGCCTAGGTTGTTCAAGTGTGCAACAGCCATGATCGACTGAAATAGAATGCTGAAATATTGAAAACAAGTGCCTATCTTGCTATTCTCACAACACTTTACAATGCAATTTAATTTTGCTTGCAATCATAGTAGAATTCTGCTATTTCAAACTAATTGGGTGTAGTCTGTTCAGATTCGGAAATGATTGGATTATCTGAAAAAACGTGCCCTACTAATGCAAATACATCGACAGGATTACCAGACACAATGCAATGTAGCAAGCGATGTCAGAAAGTGGAAACAGCATACAACATGAAGTGGCAACATCACGAACAAAGGAGTATGTAACTGATCGCAAGTCGTAGTGTCTACATTGTTTAGAAGAAATGAAGTTCTGTTTGTGTCGCTGCTGTTAACAGGCATTCTACAAACAATATTCAGAATAAATTGGGTTGACTTACAATGTGTTCATGCATTTTCATTTATAAATTAAGTTTATATGAATCCGGTTCAATGACAGGTGTAATGTAATTACCAATGCAATAAACATTTCATTTCAACAACTTGTGTTTCAGTAATTAGTTCAGTATTTCATAATATAAATCTTCCCCCGCTACAGAAAAACATTTTATTTATTCTTGTATTTTTTTCTTCCATCATAATTTTTTTTGGATTATCCAATATTTAGGATAATAGGGGTTCTACTGTATATTTATAAAATTTAATTTTCCTTACAACAAAACATGCAGACTACCTTTCTGATAAAAAAAATAGTGGTGCTACAGAATGGCACAGACTTTCCTGTATTCGTTTTCTATTTCTATTGGTCTCGGTTAGCTATTCGGACTTGTCACGTACACTTGCCGGCTGCCATCTATCACCGCCCCATGTACATCATTCGAAACCTTTCATACGTCATTTCAAGAACTTCCAGTCACAAATGCAATAGTGTTTACTATCACCGGAAATATACATATTAAAGGCATGAGAGATATTTAAAAAAATTAAAATTGTGTAATATTTGAAAACTCAAATGAATTCAGCCAAATTAATTCTGTCATCTTAAACAGTGCAATTAACACTATCTGTTTCAGAAAATAGGGAGTTTTGAGCTCAATTTCACGGAAAACTTAAGTTTTACTGGAACTTTTATCTACATTATTTAAAGCACACAAACTCACATTACTATAAAGAAATTGCCGCTAATGTAAATATTAACAAGGTGAAAACAAAATAAAAAAGTTAAATTTTTGCAATTTTTTAAAAACAAAAGAACAGAGCAATATATGGTGTTATGTCACCTTATAGAGTGAATTTAGTACTATCCCTACCAAAAGTTTAAAGAAAAAATTTGAAACTGAATGAGAAAATCTTGTTTATGTAATTTTTTTAAATTGCACATATGTAATACAATTTTGTTTGAAAACTACCAGAATTTTCAAAATAAAAAGGACATGACCTTAATGAAAAACTCACTGTGGAGGACAATTTTTATTGGAATGAAAAATCTCCATCTTCAATTTTGTAGTTGAAGGAAGGCGCATTAAAAATTTTGAAAATTCAGAGTTAAACCTGAAAATCGGACCTATGACACCTTAGTACGTAATTTACTGTATTCTTACAAGAAATTTAAAGAAAAAGTTTTGAAAATGTGAAGAGGGCTTAGAGTCAACACCAAAATTTATTTCTGTTGAAATCTAGATATTGATTTTCAGCAGCATTACATAACTTTCCCTATTCTATGTATAGTACTCCGTATATTCGTACATATACAGGAAAGTAAAATATGGACTATTCCATTTGTTAGAGTTCTTGATGACACAAACAATTTTTTCCATAACTAAAGTTTCCTAGATTATTTGAAATATTTTAAAAATACTATTTGATTAACATTCAAAAGTAAAAAAAAGCTTGAGGCAACACCTTGGCAATCATTCGTATTTTCTTGAAATTTGAAGTAAACAATTTTTTAAAAATTAATTGTAGTAGCATTTGTAGAACAAAGGAAGAAAATAATGGAATTAACTTAATCCAATGGAAAAGTGAGGCTGTGGTGGGATATGAGCATATTGAGCTGTTGTAGCTGTATTGAGTGCAGGTTCAAAGCCATGGATTTTTAAGGGTGAAAAAAAATTTTCATATGCCTTGCTTCAGAGGGGAAGTGCAGCCAACTGTCCCATTTGTTGTAGATTTACAGCATGTAAGATAAGCCTAAAAGAAGTCACCAAGCTGAATGCAAACCCACTATTTCATCGCCTGACTGATACCTTCTTTCTCTGCTAGATGGTGAAATGAGTATAGCAAAATTTGCGTGGCGAAAGACCGGGCCTGATGTCTTGAGACACTCCATGTATAATAGGGCCTGAACTGAACAGAAATTGAACTAAACTGAACTAAAAGAGTAATGAGAAATGAAAAGTTTGCATATTGGCACATGCTCCATGTTTGGAAGGTGGCATTGCAATTGTGCACTTTCAGAAGTAACAAAAGTTGAAAGGATTCCGAATTAGCAAAACACATTGCAACATTATCACTGTACTATTTGCTAATAAACACTGGTAATTTATCAATGTCCATAATATGATAACTCAAGAAATTATCCTAAGAACCAAATTTGGTGATAGGCAAAAACTTTTTTTATTTAGAACTAAATTCAATCTAAGATTTATAATTATATCAAATGATTTGTACATATTGCAGATTATTTTATTTTCACAAAAGTATTATAATACATTTAGTAGGTGGCATTCAGACAATAAGACTCAAAAAGAGCAAATTCGTTCCAAATTTTTAAAAGAGATACCGATTATTTTGTACAAAACAGACATTCCAATCACAATGACAAACAGCAGTATCACAACAAAAACACAATTAACATTCTGTCAATTTATCAAAATTACTTCAAAATTTAAATACTGCATTTACCCAAATATACGATTTTCTCCCTAAATATCTCATTCAAAAAATTTGGGATAGTACCGTATTTATGTGAATATAAGACAAGGTTTTATTTTCTAAACACCTCAGTTAAAAAATGCGGGGTCGCCTTATATTCGCAGATTAAGCCTGGTCGGTTAGGATTGAAGTTTTTACAGTGCCTTTCCAAGTCACGAAACTTGTGAATGTTCATGTAACAATAAATTGAAAAACTGTAAAAATATTCCACGTAAAAATACATATTTATTTTCGTGTTCATATTTTCGGCAATCGCGTTATGTCGGACAATTCAGACCGATATTTTCGAATGGGCCAGTAAAGAGAATCTCTAACTGAATGGCATTGTATGAAATCAAACTTGTTCTTACAAAAACTAAGACTTAATCCTTTCCAAAAATTATAACGAGTCTTTCAAACTTCTCCTTTGTCTGCTAACTTCTCTTCTTCCTCTCGGCCATTCATCCATAGTAATCCTGATGATTCTTTTCTCCTCCATTCTCTCAATATGATCGTTCCATTCCTTTCTTCGGTCTGGTACCAAGTCCGTAATGGGATTAACTTTGCACTCTTCCCTGATGTTTCTGTTTCTTTCCTTATCCAGTAGAGTGTGATTTGTAATTTTTCTCAGAAGTCACATTTCGGCGACCAAGTTCTTGTTTGGTAAGTTTCATTTCACTTCTTGTTTCTCCTGCATATGTTAATATTGATATAATTATCAATTGATATATTCTAACATTCGAATCCTGATTTAGAAGTTTATTATACCATATTGAGTAGTTGACACAGCCAGCGATCCTATTACCTATTAGTTCTTTTATTCATTTCTTCGTTTGTCCTGAGCTTCTTAAAGTTATTCCCAAATACTACATTTTTAGAAGTTGTTCTAAATTTGATTATCCTCTATCAATTTTCACATAATCAGATTCTTAGCAATTGTGATAGCTGTAGTCTTCTGGGTAGACCTTTGTAAATTAAAATTCTTACAAAGTTAACTGAACTTGTACAGTAATCGTAAATCATCTTCATTTTCTGCTACTAACAATGTGCCGTCTGTGTAACATGATATTTACATTATATTTTCCCATATTATATCCTTTTCTTGTTTTCAGTTGTTTTATAATAATATTCATTATTACATTAAATAACAATGGGCTCAATGAATACCCTTGTCTTATTCTTTTCGATGCAGGTATAGCAGGTAATATTTTCACCTGGTTTTAATCTATTTTGTTTCCTGTATGTATATTGATTATTAGTTTTAAAAGATTAGAGGGCACAATTTCTTGTTTCAGTATTCTTATTACATCAATTAGTTTTATATTGTCTAATGTTTTGCTTAGGTATGCAAAGATACCACTCGGAGCTCCACGAATTTGCCTCAGATCACTCAAATGAAACCTAACGTGAAGATGAATGCTGAGAGATTGATACAAGATGCGGGGTTGACAAAGCCGCAAAGAAACTCTGTTCGATGCTCGGCGAATACGAATCTGTGTTTTGAACAGAAACAGAGGCCATAAACAAGTGCGGGACAGATAGGGAATCTGGCGAAAGAAGGGAATTTTCATAGATTGCGTCTGACGAAAGACTTAACAACACAAAACTTTCAAGAGGGGCCAGAAAAAGTCACAGCATGGAAGGACTAAAAAGAAAGTAACATTGATACATGTGAAGATGACAAGGGTAGTGACAAAAATCATGATTATGATATTAAAAAACACGAAAATAAAACATTATCATCAACAAGGGTATCATCTAGTCAAAAAGACCTATTGTGAATTTATTTTGACTAAATAGAATAACAAGTTAAAAATTTAAAAAAATCTCAGGAGACTTTTTCAAAATTAGGGGATTGACTCCTATTCGAGGTTAACTTATAATAGAGTAAATATGATATTACATTTGCAGATTAAGCAAAGTCAGTGTTGCCTTTTTGCCCTACCCAGTCAAGAAACTAAGTGGCCTAACAATCTGCAAAGGAGGTGATAAGTAGTGTATACCTACAAAATGGGTGTAAAAATTATATAATGATCAATAAGATAGTAATCAGCACCAATTTCTGAATTTCTTCTATAATAATTCCTGATTATCTTTCCCAATGTGTTCTTGGTGTTCCCTAGGGATGTGTGGTCATTCAGACCAAACTTTTTTGAACAGACCAGTTAAGTGAATCTCAAATAAATGGCACTGTAGTAAGTGAAATGGAATGTGAAAATAGTGACCATGATTTTGTTGAAGTAAGGGGATCTAAGAGTATACTGTTCACAACTCAACCATTCTTTAAATAATGCGAATTTCAATTTAATAAACAGCTATGAACAAAACCATGGCAGGAAGAAAATATGGAGTCACAGATTGTTCTCTGGTGATGCAATGGCAGAAAAGGCTAATTCAACATACAAAACTTTCAGAAGAACTAAAAACTCAAGACTATCTCCAGAAAGAAAAATAATGATGCAAATGAAAATTAAGATAGACACAAAAATTACTCTGATTATAATGAACAAGAGAAAAGGAATAGCTGAAGCAATAGGATTTAACTTTACCAGCAGACAATTTGCAATTTTATTGTAACAACACGAAGATTTTTTTGAAACTCAATTTTAGATACAACAAACAGGCATAGTAGCTGATAGTAGTTTGCGACCAATGTTTTTATTTATTTGATTTATTGTGCTTTTTAACCCTCAGCTGGTGGCTCATCATAAGTAACTACCATTCAAGAACAATGGCATCTTAATTTGCTTAAATTTAGAGCCCTGACAAAACTTGGCTAAACACAGTTCAGCTACAAACAGATTCGTTTAAAGAGAAAAAAAAGTATCTTCCTATTTGGGCTTAGCCAAACTGGGGTGAGAGAGGGCATCTTTTAAATTAGAAAAAAATTCTTTTGAAGCACGTGAAAAAATTAAATTGAAATAATGGATTACAAAAAATGCATTTTGTATTACTGCTGATCATTCTTTGAATTTGTCAATTATATAATTTCCCTTGGCTGTGATCATTACAAACACTAATCAGGAATCTGTATCTCAGATAAAAAGCAAAGCTAAAAAAAGAAAAGAAAAATAAAGGGGAAAAAAGGTATCTTTGTTGTTCTATGTAAACACATGCAGGTCTGTTAATTAACATACACATTTTTGAGCCGTAATCTAGAATTTTGCATCTACCTCCTATAAAATTTCAGTTTTTTCGAAGCATGGTGACGGGCAGATAAACAAAATTATAAAAAAATTCTCATAGCCAAAGGTTACAAGTTACACAATTGCCGACTTGTTACATCCAGTCCTATTATTAACATTCTTTACCATTAAAATTATTAATTTTTTCCTTCATTTAACCATTTATCCAATAAAGCACATTTTCAGTGAAAGTCCCAAGAAGCAAAAATATAAGTTTCCTCAAAATTAATAAATGGTCATAATATTCCCAAACAAGAACAAAACTCATATGAATTAAAAATACAAAAATTTGCAAAAAAAGTATTAGTGCACTTCCTTCATTGTTTCGTTTCCTTGCAAATGTTTGAGATTTGTTACAATATAAAGGGAAAGCCAGAGAACTATCCAAATCAACAGACCTGTAACCACAGTTCTTGCATTTATAGGTGTACTTTGTTTCAATGCTGTATGAATGACATCTTCCAATGCGTGGGAGTTCAGGAAATCTTGCAGTGGCCCTCTTAGTCCTAGAAGAAGAAAAAACGAACAAGAAAAGAGAATTAGACTAATAAAAAAACAATATCAGAAAACATCTTACATATTAAAAACTACAAGAAGGGATTGATAGCTTGTGAAAATGAATGCATCCTTTTGCAAATGAAAGCACCCTTAGGCAAATAATGCATAAAGTGGTCATGGCAACAACTCTACCTAACAAATTCTACATACTTTTCACACATACAACCAAATACAGTACTTAGTGAATGGGTTTTAAATACAGGTTTATCAAAATACAGTATCTAAACTTCACCAGCTTCACCAGTTTATGAAACCTTTTTAACATTTTAACAATATTTAAAATTGTTTGCCTATATGATTTATGGTAAATCAACTTCAGCAGAATCCTTTATTACATTAGAAATAACAATAAGCCCTTTTACCCACTGCAGGAAGTTTTATTACATTATATATAATGAGCCTTTTTTCTACTTTGAACTACTTTTCTACCTAGATGTGAAGAACAGATATTATCCAATCTCTTTCTTTAATAATGTACTCGTGGGAAGGGGCCCTTCTGCTATTTTATAAAATTCACAGGTTTTAATGAAAATGCAAACCACACCCTTTGATAAACTATTAGAGCAAAAAATGTAAAGAAAAATTTGAGTCCATTTTTAGAGAAAATTTTGAAAACAATATCTCAAAAATTGAAAGAAATTCAAATTCTCGAGGCAGATTGTTCTGTGAATATCAATTTTGAATGCAATCCTGTCAATGATTGAGGTGCAAGTACGTATTGTCAAAACGATCAAATATTTTTCAAAAAAACACTTTCAGTAACAGGGACCCCAAAATAGTGAGTTTTTAATCAAAATTTCAACATCAATTTTTTTGCAAACTTACATATAGTTTCCAGAAGAAAGTAAAAAACCTGACTTAGGTCACATTTCAAGTTAAACAACAGAATAATCATCTACTTCCAATAAACTAAACACCTCCCTCATCTGGCACACAGTTATTAGATTTCTGTAACTTGGAAGAATTCTGTTAGTTATTAGCTTCAAAAAAAATATTTCTTTTTTTACTGTTGCTAGTAAATGTATGTTGTTCAAGGTATATATACCATGCTAAAGGTTCAAAATCTAGCACTACTGCTGAAGTGATCAGATAAATCTGTGAATTCAACAAAGAAATCAATACTTTTCTCTGGCAAGCCAAATAATTTACTACTGACCTTAATGTAATGTTAAGTAATATGTATACTTGAAAGCAAAGCTTGTAAGGCTGTCAAAAATAGAGTCCATAAAACACATGGTGAAAGTAATTTTATTTAGCTCGCAAGAGGACACCATTCGGCCCAACCGTCTCGTACACGTATTTCCTACTTGCTAAATAAAATCTCACTTTTACAACATAAATAACTATTGTTACTTGAACAACTTTTCAAGCACAAAGTAATACGTTTAAATTGTGTGGTGCAACAATAATAAATAATCTAAGTTTTTAATTTCTAACATTTTTCTTCAACAGCCACAAGATCTTCAAATCCTCAACAACAAATACTAAAATAACACTGACCAGGCTTGCCAAACTGCACCATGTCCACTCTTAACACCATCAATAATCCATGAAGCAGCATGGCAAAGTTCATGAATAAGAGTATCACGAACTCTATCAGCTGTGTTGCACACCTGTAAAAATTAGTAATTAGAAACACAGAAAATTAGTATTACCTGCATTTTAATGTCTTGCAGGAATAAGAAGATATCTCTTGAGTTGGTGAAGCCTACCACATTTTCCTAGAACCAATCCTTTAATAGCCAAGTACTCTTTCTAATTTAATGTATACATTGAATATAGAACAATTTCAAAGCTTATTTATTTCCTTATTTTCAGAGGTTTACTCAAACACAATTTTGACGTTATATAGGCACATTCACTAAATATGAAAATTCAGTTTCTCTTAAATACCTTGTCATTTAAAAAGGCAATTTCATGAAGAGAAATATTGAAAGATTTCACATGTTCATTTAACTTGTAGTGAATTAATTTATTTACCCGCTTGGAAACAAAGCGTCATAACACAGAGAGAGAGAAGAAAGAGAGAGAGAGAGAAGAAAGAAAGAGAGAGAGAGAGAGAGAGAAGAAAGAAAGAGAGAGAGAGAGAGAGAGAGAGAAGAAAGAAAGAGAGAGAGAGAGAGAAGAAAGAGAGAGAGAGAGAGAGAAGAAAGAGAGAGAGAAGAAAGAGAGAGAAGAAAGAAAGAGAGAGAGAAGAAAGAGAAAGAGAGAGAGAGAGAGAGAGAGAGAAGAAAGAGAGAGAGAAGAAAGAGAGAGAAGAAAGAGAGAGAGAAGAAAGAGAGAGAGAGAGAGAAGAAAGAGAGAGAGAGAGAGAGAGAGAGAGAGAAGGAAGAAAGAGAGAGAGAGAGAGAAGAAAGAGAGAGAGAGAGAGAAGAAAGAGAGAGAGAGAAGAAAGAGAGAGAGAGAGAGAAGAAAGAGAGAGAGAGAGAAGAAAGAGAGAAGAGAGAAGAAAGAAGAAAGAGAGAGAGAAGAAAGAAAGAGAGAGAAGAAAGAAAGAGAGAGAAGAAAGAAAGAGAGAAGAAAGAAAGAGAGAAGAAAGAAAGAGAGAAGAAAGAAAGAGAGAGAGAAGAAAGAAAGAGAGAGAGAGAAGAAAGAAAGAGAGAGAGAGAAGAAAGAGAGAGAAAGAATATACTGATGCCTCACCTTTGTAGAAAGTTCAATTCTTGAAGACCGAACTTTGCCTTGTGTACCCAGAACCGAGCTATTACGGCAAAATCCTGCAGTTCTATTCATCCTTGCATTCCAGTCAATTTTCAAATTACAAGGAAGCTGCAACACAGAGTGAAACTGATCAGATTGATTGCAATTCAAACACAATATCCAAATTTTTTGGTAATAATTTTTCTATGCGATTGTTATTCTTTATATTGGGTTGAAGTTTCTACGTATATTAAACATCACAAATCATTTAAAAAGTGTTGTAAAACATTTTGGAGACAACTGCACCAACAAGTATATACTAAAATTCAAAATCTTCAAATTAAAGCACTCTTTAAAATAAGACAATTTAAAACAATTAAGAGTTTAAACAAATGCTAAAACTAAAAATAGTTGAAAGTTAATAAAGTATTAGGCAAAGAAGCCAAACTAAGTAGCATTCAAATCTAAGTTCATGAAAAATTCCTTTTAAAAAGATAGACAAATTCTCGCAAACCAGTTTCAAAAAATAACTCAGTTTCATGTCAATGAAACATTATCACTATTACAGGTCAATCAAAATCTAATCAAGTAAAATTCAATCAAAGGAAACACAAAGCACTAATAATCAAATCCTAAAACACACCCAGGTGCAATCAATTCTTCAGTTTGAGTACAAAGAAGTTTCACATATAAAAAAAACTTGGAACAATGACAGATTCCCAAACATTATTCAATATCTGAATATCTGAGCATGTCAAGAGCCTCCTCCTCTCTGGTCAACTACACTGATGAGATTGCTTTAAGGGCAACTTGCTGTTGAATGGGGGTTTAACAAACGAAACACAAAAGGGGAAAGATGACCTCGACAATAGGGAAGTAATCAACAAAGGCAATGCAAAATTGATCTACAATCCACATCCAATTTATAAAAAACCTAATACTATACTGAATGGCATGAAACTAATTCTGAATACTACTCTTTTATTCTAATAAAAATATTATTATAAGGAGATTACAGAAATTAGACACTATTACAATTATTTCTATCATGGTTTTTTTACAGATTTTGCTGATACTTCACAATTTTCTACAATTTTTTTGAAATTTTATCTCTAAAATTTTTTTTTCAAAAATAAGTTTTTATCTTAAAAAAATCAGTATTTCTTCTCCAACAAATTCAGAATTGCGTGATAACAACCCAAGGTACCCCAGGTTAAGACACGGATAAGATATATGCTGTCCATTACAGATAATATCCACCTGTACTTCCCTACGTATCTACACTGCAGCAAGTGCACTGAGAATATTATCTTTAGGGTGTGGCAAGAATCAGACATTTTTGTTGTTTTTGTTAACTTAAATTACAAATTTCAAGAAATATGGGTTGCTGCATGTGAGTAGCACTTGTACGATTGCTCTCATTGCTGCCAAATATAAAAATATACTGTTTAAAAAGCAAGTGGACTAAGCAAATTTTATTTTTGAAATTTGTTTAAAAATGACTATTGCTTCTTACTTACTTAATTTAATTTCACATTGTAAACATTTTTGTTTTTTTTTGCAAATGTTTTACTGTATAAGGGTAGTATTGTGAAATAGAAGTGTACTGAAGGTTTCCACTGAACTTTGATATCTGATTTTACATATTAGTTACATATTCTTATAGTTTTCGTGACATATTTATATACGCATTTTGCCATTTCATACTACATATTTTTTCAGACTATGTCCCACCAAGTAATGGTCCTAGTAACAGTTTCTGCACTGAAATTTTTCTTGTCAGGTAATATCAACTATCACAAAATACATTGCTAAAATTACCATATGCACCAAGACATACAACAATGTAAGGGGGTTAGAATATGAGCTATAAAATGAGAAATTTTTAGGAAATTACAACAACCTGCTGCAAAGACTACATTACTCTTTCTAACAAATATTACATTTTGCACACTTGCACTAGCACTTAAATAATAGCAATTAAAATTCAAGTAAATTTTCACAATTTAAATATACCCCAATTGATCTCCAGGATGTTTGAAGATTCCTCAATGCACCAGATAAAAATTGAAAAACGCCAGGTGTTATAAATTTAATTAGAAATATATAAAATGCAGTAAACATATTACCTTATTTTCAAATACTTCTGCATTAAATAATTTAAAAAGTCTGGAACACAATTCATCCTTCTTCTTTTTGAAGTCTTTTTTATAAAGAAGAGCTTCAGGGTTACTCTTCTTAGGGGAACAAACTGCAACAAATCATTCAAAAGATTCTCAAACTAAGATAAAACTTACACATATGACAAATACAACATAACCAAAATTGCTTGAAACCAATCCAGCTGCAGAAAATGCAAACACATATTTCACAATTACAATTATTTACTATTCTAGCCAGTTCACATGGTTACACATATTTTATTTAATTGAATTTTCACCGCAGATTCATACATTCATAAAATGTATATTTCACATTTTCCTAATTTTTGTCAATCCTCCTCTAAAATTATCATGTACATGAAGTCAATGTTTATTTACATTGCTCTCTTTCAACCATAAATCAATCTGGTACAAAAATGAAAGCAAGTAATCATAGTAAAGAGCCCATTGGCAAGTTTATGTATACATACACCAACACTGCAATATCAAAAATTAAATGCATTTATCCACGGAACACAATGCCTCAAAGTATTGTCAGAAATGAGTAAGAAGCCACCTTTGATTGGTTTGTTATATAAAGAGTAGCCATCACAAATAGTGACTACTATAAAATTATTAATTTCTCCAAGACTTTTTTCATTCTTCATTTATTGTAGGATACTCTTTACATAAGCTACTGAAAAGAACACAAGTTGTCTTTGTTTTCAGAAAAACTACCACAGACAATTCTTCTTAAAAGCCTAGTGCAAAACAATGCTTTTCTGATGCTGATTACACTTATGGCTGGTGGAATATAACCCTGATTTGAATGTACATTCCAAAATATGCAATACGAGCAAAATACTTTCATGATGATGTAGTAAAATAAACATTTATGAAACCTTTTCAACTTTTTACAAACAAAATAGTTTTTGCCAGATGTGACACTGGTGTGGTATCTTCCAATATTTTTAAATGTTTACAAAACCTAGCCCATTATTAAAGAATTGTAGCCAATGAAATTTGTGGAAATATTCCTATCTACAGAAATACTTTTAAAGTGTTTTATTTTTAAGTGTCACACTTAGAAACCATTTCATTTTACGATGTTAGTACAGAATGTTACGAAGCCCAAATAAACATGATGCTATGTAATTGAGCACCATGTAATTAAAAAGTTAACCAACCTCTCTTTATACTGCAAACTTATATGTGCAAACCAGTATATCTTGTTTTGTCTTGACACAAGTTACATTAACCAAAGTTACACCTCTCAAAACGTTCTACAAATGTTACTTACATATTAGTTCAGGGCATTTTATCACAACATCAATTGGTATGCTTTTACAATTAAAACAAAAGTAGGACATAAAATAAGTCATTTAGGTCAATCTTGAAAAGTCAACAAAAATAACGATTCAAAAAAGACAACTGATACAAATATTAATTAAAATTATTTTCATTTCATCATTTGTGGAAATTTGGTGGCTATAAACAGAGTCACACTTCCACAATTTGGGGATACACATATTTATAAACATCTTCTAAAAATGTACTTTAGAAAGGAATTGAATTATTTTCAGATTAAAAATGATCTTAATTTATTACTGTAAAAAGACAAAAAAAGAAACCCTACTCTTGAATTAAAACAAATTTTGAGTGACACAAAACAAACCACCTTGGTAAAATATTTCTGCAAAGCATTAAAAAAGTTGAAATTTGGAGAGAAATATATTTAAAAAAAAAAAAAAAAAAGAGAGAGAGAGAGAGAACAACACTCACAGATTTAACTTTATTAAATAAACTCCTATACTTACCAGATAAGGACCGCAAGAAACTCAAAGTTTCAAAAGTTTGTTTGATTTTTGAAACCCCTGTTTTTAAAGGACAGGTCTTTGGTGCATTGATACCAGGATGAGGAACTTGTGTTTTGGGAGTTAAGAAGGGTCTTTTAGCATTCACTTCCTTCTTATTTACAGGAGGAGTGTTCTCCTTTCCCTTTCTAACTTTCCTTCTATTTAAGAGCGGCGTCAGAATTTTTTCTTCATCCCAATTCTTTCCATATAATTGGGATAGTGTTGCATCAATGGACCCTGTGTCTATCTCAGAATTTGGATTCTTTGTAACAGTTTTTCTTTTCTGAACTACTGGTGTCAACACACTTTCCTTGTTCCAGTTTTTGGCATAGAGGTTAGATATAATTCTATCAGCTGAACTTACTGAAATGATACTTTCATCACTGTGATAGCTTGTCCTGGAGCAACTGCCACCATCATCACTGCTGCGAGGCAATGACAACTTTAAAGAGATTTCACTAGACTTATTGGAAATTAAATCCACATTCTTGCGTCTACTGCGTGGTAATGATAACTTAAAAGAATCCTCACTAGACTTACTAGAAACTGAATCAGTTTTCTTTTTCCCCAAAGATGAATGGGACAGATTACTACCTTGTTCACTGCATGGTAATGACTTTGAATCTTTGTCTGACTTTTTGGAAATTAAATCAGATTTGTTGCCAATTGATGAGGTCTGAGACCAATTGCTACTGCCATCTTCACACTCACTATCACTAAAATTAAGGCACACCTTTTTACGCCTCACTTTCCCCTGTATTTCACTTGCATCATCACTACTCTCTGGTATCACTCCCTTAAAATTATCAGTGTTCTCAAATTCTTGACTGTTGCAATTATAATCCGAACTCAAAAAATTATTTTGCTGGCGGCTTTTCGAACTTTCATCGCTGCTAGTTTCTGATATTCTATTTTTGGAAGTATTTTCAGTACCCAATTTTGGGGGATTCGATGAGACAGGAGAACATTCAACCACAGAACTCGAATTTGAAGTTGACCATGGTGATGAGAACCTTTTTCTTTCATGAGCTGTGTAAAGTTCATTCAACCAACTTAAAATTTCATCAAATTTGTCATTTGCGGCTCTCTGAATTTCGCCACTTTTCACATTCTTAGAAATCAAAGTTGAAGCAGTTCTTTCTTGATCAGTATTAAAAAGTTTGGGAACGTGGGGAGTACTTCTGCTATTAATTTTCTCGCTTATTAGAACAACAGAATCCTCAAGCACACTGGATTTCTTTGACTCCGTAGATTCCCTTCGATTATTTTTAATGTTATAAAGACTGGATGGAGAGCAGCGAGCATCTTGAAGAGGACAAACTTTGGATCTCAGTATCCTAGATTTAACTGGTCCTTGCACAATGTTGCCATTCACTGGAAACAAGAATAAATATTAAAACTTTCATTTAACACTTAGTTCCAGAAAAGAATTACAATATATCAAAATTAAAACCTACATTTTTTCTTTGAAAGAGCCTTGGGGGAGAAAGTAAGAAAGGAAGAATCCATTTGCCTGAAACAAAAAAATGAACAAAACAATTACAAATAGTAGCAATCAAATACTACTTTTCTATATTTAGCTAACAACACTAGACAAAATTACCAGGACATGCAACACAAAATTTTGAAATACAAAAACCATGAAGACTAAGATTTACAGTATTCATGGATAGAATAATGGAGGAATCTAAAGACATTTGAAAGTGGCAAGACACAAGAAGCCAAAATCAGAATCTACAATACAGCCAAATGAATGACAGACAAACAAATGGTTTTGTGAAGAAAAGGGGTAAAAACAAACTCTGAATAGTTCAAATGAAGTTCTTTAGACATCAACTTGGCTTCACTACTGTGGATTGTCAGAGAAATAAATACAAGGCAAAGACTAAACAAAAAATATAACAGAAGTTAAAAAGAATCAGAATGTCTTTCAGAATCCATAGAACATGTTAAATGAATGAAACAGTAAAGTTCCATAGGCTGCTCTAGTATGCAACCATCAAGGGAAGAGTAATATGGGAAAATCAAAAAAGTAATTGATCATGCTGGAACATTTAGAAGATTAATAATTTACTTTTAAGTCCTACTACTGAAGCAGGACATGCCTTAGGTCTTTTATTCTGCAGAATATTAATGATAATGAACAATATTATGTACATTTGGCAGTGAACAATATCTTCCTTCTCTAATCAAACAACAAATCAGTTAATAAAGAAATTTACTAAAAGCTATAAAGAAGCAAGTGAACGATGCCAGAAAAGCATTAGTGAAATTATAAGAAAAGTGGAACACTCTTCTAACAGCTTATCTGGAAGCACATTGAAGGCCTATTTTGGGATTATTCCTCTGATTCCCGACAAGAATGAATGCTAGTTTCTGATTTGGGTCATATTTAAATTTTTGAGGCCAAAATTAAAATTACTCAAAAAAAAAAGTTTCTCTACTTCTCACACACTTCTCGATACGTACAAAAATTTGCAACTGCATAAAAGTTCATGTATCGATACACACTCGTCAAATTATCATATATCACCGATAAATTCACTTATTTTCACTCCGTTTCCTATAAAAATAACTTTGTGAATGACGACTTATAGCCTCACAAACAATAGATGAAACAAATCGCAAATTATTATTTCAGAAGTTCACACAAAACTCACGATACGGGTCCACAACGCTCTCTTCAACTCTCAAAAGTATCTCTCCCAACCTCCTTCGTTTCCTTCTTCAGTGTATAGAGTCTGCCAGATGGTTTCAAGTCCCAACAAGTCATTTATCCCCTGTTTATCCCTTTAACTTCCACATTCGTCCACATTGAATGCAGCACGTTGGCACGTTCAACGGACTTACGGATTTGAAATAGAGGTCAGAACGCGTGTGTCGCAGCCTAGTGGCGAAATATCTAGTGACGAAAGAAAACATTTACGATTACCATTTCACCTAGTCTGAACGAAATGTCATTTACGGGAAGATTATGAAAAGAAAAAGAAAGATCAATAATGCTTGAATCTCTATTCAATATTTTCATGTATATAATTAAACTCGTGATGTCAGAACTAAAAGTTCTAATTTCATAAATATCACGAACCCAAAAAAAATAGACTTGGCCATCCTTTCTAGAGGGAAATTTAAATCCAATATTCAATCAATACAGGCACTCGGTATACAATACTGGCATCAATATAGCCGAAGGAAATAAGTCTACATATCACTACGGTCAAAACAATCATACTTTGCATCCACAGAGCGAACTAGTACATATGTATTACTTCACTGCCTTAGAATATCTATAAATAATTGAACAAAATTTGTAATCGCTCTTTTAAATCCACTGTTATAAGTGGAGATTTAAACTGATTTTCTGGGTGAATCTTGCGCCAAAGACCAGTTCATTCTTTCAGTTTGGATATTAAAGTAAATATACCTTCACGGAATATAGTAAAGTCCTAGAAAGCAAAATATCGAAACAGAATTAAAACAAGTGGACGAATACTAGCACATACTTTCACGCATTATTTCTAAATTTCAGTTCTCGAAATACCGTTCAATGAAAATGAAACATGCGCTATTTCTGTAGGCATCATTTGTTTCATTTGTGGAAAAAATTGGAACGGGTTTCGAAAGAAGAACATATTAATTATCTTTAACTTGCACCAGTAATTGGGCTAAAACTACTTGTTTTATCAAAAAAAAAAAAAAAATGCATATAACCGTTTTTCGATATATGATTCTTTATAACAGATTTTATTTAAGACAAAAGTCACTATTTTCAAATTTGTAGTTTTGCAATGTTCTTTTTTACTCAATTTTATTTATTCACACTTACCTATAGTTACATGCACTACACCACCACACATGTCGGGAGACCAATTGGGAGTTTACAGCTTGTCCTGACTGGGACGGTGCCCCGCGCGGTTAGGGAAAACACCGCCAGCCGACGTGTAGGTTGGCGCCAGATCTCACCGTACAGAGTAAAATGACCGCCACCTTCCGAGAAAAATCTTGCTCTGTTTTTGATTAATAACCTTAGGAATTAATAATAAAGATGAAATAGTTAAACAATCAATCATTGTTTTAAAATAGCCATATTTCACGCAAGCTTCCGCAAAAACTATTCACATTTTCGAAAAATTGTACAAGACATTATTTCAAGATTAGTCTTTCAACAACAGATTTTATTCAGAATAAAATGCTCTTTCTTCAATACAATAGAAGTGCGTTTACACGAAGAGAGTTTTCTCGCCTAAAGGCGCGTTTACACGGAGAGTTTTCTCTCCTAACTTTCCGGAACTGGTTACGAGACACGTGTAAACTCTCAGGAGAGCGATCTTCTCTCTGGAGACATGACGTCGATATCACTATAAATTTAATATTATTAGGAAGGTAGTTCTGACACACGTGATCAGAACACTACATTCCCAAAATTTTTGAATTACAAAACGTATTTAATTTTTCTGTTCTGTAAGCTACCTTTTCTTTAATGAAAATACATCTTGTGTGGAAGTGATAAACTGCATGTTGGAATTGTTTATTTTCTCAAAAAAAATGTTTACTCTCCAACAGTACAAATTTATAAATTTTATGTGAATTCGAGAAGTCACCCCTGCACAGGAAACCGAAATATTGTCATCTTGATTTGGGGACCTGGCTCTCTATGTTCTTTCTCCTATCATTGGGTTTATATTACCTGCTAATATATACACACAAATTTGAACAATGCCATCAATTTGAGTAGCAATTATTTATTGACAAACACCATATTTCAAAATGCTAGACGGCGAATTCTGTACTCAGGTACAACGTATATACACCAGCTTCCTATAGTACCAAAACATAACATAACACGTAAAATTTACCCTTTAAACACAACATATCTTGAGAACAACACATTCAATAACACTCACCCATTCATATATTTAAACTGCCTTCATTCACGCGAGTGCACTTGTTTTGGAAACTGAAAAAATTAACTCTAACGGCAATTAGTAATAATTACTTAGTTGTTACAATCTTGGCCTTCTTATAAGAATTTTGCAAAAATGCGTCATCTCCATGATTGCTGGAACCCGTAAAATGGCGCCGTCTCCACTGCTGCGATTATTTGAGCCTTCTCGTGGCGGGTACCATCCTCTTCTTTTCGAACTCCAAATCGAAACACTCGCGGACTATATTCCTTACTATGGAATACCACTCAACAACATTTCAACCCACTCACTTTCCAACCCACGTTTACATAAAAACTCCAGATTTCACTTCTGCCACGTCAGCACTACCAGATCGCCAACCCGTCTGTCCATATTCATTGTTGTACACCTCCCTCCTCACTGCGCAGCTTAAAAACAAAGGACAGCTAGCTCTCCTCTTCTGTCAAACTCGATGTACATTTTTAAATTCCAATTTTAGATGTCTTTTGGTTTCCTCTATTTCTTCATTGTAATACCTTCTAATTAAACTTCAAACAATAAATTTAATTACCTTTCCTCTTTTACAAATTTCTAAAATATTATTGTCTAACCGTTTGTGAAATTGCCCATTTCATATATCCTTCACTTGTATTTTCCCAACATACAAACATTCATCCATTTAATAAAATATTTTCATTATTATATAATAATCCAGAGTTCGATTGACTATGTATCCTTCCTAAATGATTCTTTGTTTATCTTTCTTTCCAGGTCTACTACCAGCATAGTTGCTTGGATTTTTTAAAGAAATAAACACTTTGTACTTCCTCCCTTGCACCTTCGACTGTTTCTCTTTTTATTAAATAAGTCAGTTTTTAGTTATCTTATTGCATCTTTTTAGTAATCATTGTGACGCGTCCGAATGGACAGTCAATCATTTTTCTGTTCTGTAAGCTACTTTTTCTTTCACGAAAATACATCTTGTGTGGGAAAGACAAATTGCATGTTGGAATTGTTTATTTTCTAAACAAATTTTGTTTTATAGTTGTTGTAAAGTATCTCCTGTCCCACGACTTCTTTGTATGTGGTAGGGAAGGAGGAAGGTGGTTAGTGGCTAGCAGCTGAGGTACGTAATGTCCGCACGCCCCCGAATGTTGGAGAAGATCGTCTGAACTGTTTAGACGCTATCGCTGACCACAGGCAGACGGACAAACAGACGTTTTCCATTAATCAATTTTTCGACATAAAAGTCACAAAACATGGATTCTGACTACTCAACGTGTCAGAGAAATAAATTTACTATATATAGGAACAAGATTTACCATTTTTTGTTACCTGGTATTGGCAATAAGAGTTTTTCTATCGACACATTTCTGGTTTATGCCTAAAGATTACGTACTTATATTGGGGGGAAAAAAGAAAAAAACTGCAATATTACCAAAGCATTTTTATACCAAAAATACACACATAAATGCCATTCTCTTTTCTCTCTTTATAGAGCCTGCAAAAGGGATTTTTTGTATTAGTTTGTATAATAGTATTTTCATTTATACGCTTTTATAAATGTTAGACAATTCTTTGTCATCATTTACATCACTTTATTCACAACAGGAGCTCATTGTGACCCCATCATCAGGTAAAATAATTGAATATAATTGAATATACTTAAATTGAATATAGTTAAATTGAATGACATGATGCAATAGACATAAACTTACCATTCATTATTCCTATAACATTCCACCACATAAACTCATAACCACAATAAATGTATGCATCATAACTCATATTCTTCATAATATTAAGATATATCGTGATTGTAGATGCGAATTTTGAGGCGCAAACGTAGACAGCTAATGGAAGTAGGACGCGGATTCTTCTCAGCGTCAATATTAGCAGTGCTTCCTCACCGTCAGGAAAGCTTCGAAATTAAGTACAAAAAAAAAGACCTTACAGAAGTAAACTGTTCAAGGCCAATAATGTTTAGTTAATAAGTAAAATTAAGAAAAAACAGATTATAAAAAAATTAAATCTCATGCAGTTTTGATGGCCATCATCATAATAAAAAGTTGGTAAAAAAAATTAAAGGCGAGAGGAGAAAGAGAGAAATTTGATGTTCATTAGAATAAATTAACGGTACCATTGTACATCGGTGCAGAATACATTCGAATAATGTTTTTTATTGTAGATAAGGAAATGTAATTTCCCCTCACATCACCAAAATATAATGATAAATATTATTTCCCTATCCTGTACAGGAGGGACTTTAGTCCAAGATCCTAATATAAATAATCAGCCAAAAATCAGCCAAATAAACGTTAAGCCAGTTAATGGGATAGAAAATCGAAGAAACGTTGAACATGCCAGGAGCGGCTCTACAATGAGAGCTTCAGACACCCCCGTATTCTACTTCTCGGAAATATTTTCTGTAGAGGGTTTGCTCTAGAAACACAACTTCTATATTTGTAGATGATATATTGAAGTCTACTCTCTTAGCGATTAATTGGCGAACCCAACCAGGCGCGCAGCATTCTCCGAGGCTTCCGTGAGCTGCACGTTTAGGCTCTTAAAAATTTTGCATTGCTGTCAATTTCATTTATTGGGCGGGGTTTCGCTCGCCCGTAAGAGACCATGCGAGCCGCGCTCAAAGCAGCTCTAGGGTTCCGAGGAGCCCAGATTGCTTCTCGAAATAATGTCGAATCCCATGTATACGTAAGCTTCCGCGGCTCGAATCCATCCGCGTATACCATGTATACGTAAGCTTCCGCGGCTCGTCGTTGGAACGACGCGGCGTCTCCCGGATAGCCGAGAATTCAATGTCGAATCCCATTACGCAACTGCCCTTCCAACGTGCGATCGCAGAAGGGAGAACACATGCATTTCGCATAGGTTCCTTAACACTTGCTTGATGTAATGGTTTTCGGTGATGCTTTGGTGTGTGGTGTATCGTGCTTTGATACAGCGTAGTGATAAGCGTGTTCGAGCGCGAAAGTGGCTTATTAACTACTCATATTGCTATGATAATATACGGTCGAAAATGAATTCTGAGTTGCCTTCCTGAATAACCATTTCTTCATTGGTTTATGATGATTGGTACGAGTAAGAGAACTAGATAGGCCCCTTCCGAAATTAAAACAAAATTTTAGGCAGCAGTCGAGGCACAGCATTTACAAGGCGTTTCAGTAAAGACATGAAAGAAACAAGTGAAAATTCGGATGTGATCAATTGGATGCTCATTTCTGTTTTCTACGCGATCTTTTTGGTGGAGAAAGTGCGTGGTCAAAACAGGCGTGAAAGAACTTGTGCACCTCTCCGCGAAAAACAAAAACAAAAGCACGATGCAATGGTAGTGAGACATTTTGGTTTACTATTGGTTGGATGTGAGAATCGATTTCGACTGTGTTCATGGCCCATGTGGCGTTAGTTCGTCTATCAACTTCGCTTCTATTTCGATTCTCGATTTTGAGTTAACGTACTGTGATTGGTTCATTCCTTGTGTCTTAATTAAGCATTAGCACAGAAGCTTGCAAGCTTTTAAGTTAACGTCTTACGTGTTATGCTTATGCGAACGCATTGTGAATGAATCCGCCTATGAACGTAGTCCTAACTTTTATGTTAACGCCATGATTTTGTTTATGCTTGCATTATGAATCCATCCCCCAGGTTTTTGTAAAAAATCACACTTCGATCAGGTTTTTGTCCAGTTTTCCTGATCTATTGAGCAAACGCTGAGATGGCTCCTTGATTTGCTTCTGGACGTAAATGTTGCTTCACTATGCGCATGTTTAGTTGAACTCTCCTTTTGCTTGTAATGGTAGGAGTCGAGGTAAGGGCGAGTTGTTATTTTGTTAGCAATACAGAAAAATAATATTTGCAATTCGTTTAACGATGAAATACGTTTTCTGTAACATGGGAACGAAAATGTCTAGTTTTTTTCAAATATTGCTAATATTGCGATTTTTTAAATTTTATTTTTATTAATTTATTTATCTTTAACCTTTACTCATCTTTCAACTATTTATAGTTAAAATGATGGGAAGGGATCCTGGAACTCAAAGAAACGTGAACATATTACCTTCTCCCCCATGCCTCACATACAGTTTTAACTGTTTTTTAACTAAATAAATGTTAAACTAAATTTCCTGTGGTGGAGAGTGGCCTGCTTCTACTCGCACACGGCGAGGGTCCATCGCCCCCGGGTGTATACCAACCTCGCGCCCGGCCGGCAACGTAACCCTGTCGCCCGCCCTCGCCACGGGAGGCGCCACACCACCCGTACAGTCAGTGCGGTGGCCGACGCTGTGCAGCCTGGGACACACCAGTGCCCTAAGGTGGCGTTGGTGTAGACGTCCTCACAGCCAGCGCTGCGTGAGTAAGCAGAGTCCGCCGGACACAGTACACCAGACGCCACCCAAAATATCGGAATGTGATTAACAAAACTTGCCCAATTTGTTGTGAGACTTTGAACGTTACTGATGGTAGATGGGTAATTTCTGAGACAATTTGTTTACTCAATGTTTATTATGTAACGAGATTCTGTACAATTACAGTTTTTACTTATGAAAAGTTTGTATGTGAATGTAAGTTCGTGGTCAAATACACATCGATAGCTTTTCAATGTTGCGTCGATCAAGCAGCGATCACTTCCCTCCAGTCTGCGTAGCGTTTACCAGCGCCGCAGGGGGTGTCCACACAAAATTCAATTTTGGCCGTACCTCGCCGTAGCCCTCCGCAACTGAAAAAACAAAATGTGTCAGGGATATATATTTAACAACAGTGTCGTTCGATAAAGAATCAACAAGTTCGTCTGCTCTAAAGGTAGTGTCAACTCGTTTCTTAAGAGCGGAAAAAAGTCAATTGCGTAAACTACTTTAAATTAAAAATATACAAATTAGATTACATATGTCAGGTTGCAAAAGGGTAAGAGAGAACTACCGGTTTAGTTTGCCTCTCCACCCGGACTTTGGCCAGTCCACGGAGTAAGATCACACCGTGTGCGAACCTCTATCCTCCTTGGCTGTCCGGGTGACGCCGCGGCGTTGGCTGAGAGGCCAGCGTTTCACCTGTCACATCCCAGGCTTCAGAAGACGCGGCGTCACCCGGACAGCCAAGAAGTCATGCACTCAAGCCGCGGAAGCTACATTCGAACCTCTATCCACTCCCTTGCTTTTGACGAGGTGTGATATACGTAACTCAGATGCGAGCGAAGTGAAGAGCACTGTGTCACGTTGATGTAAATGAGAGCCGTATCTCTAGGGTGCAGTCCAAGCACGGGACTCCTCTTCCAGGGCCGTAAGTCTTCATTAGAAAACGTGTTTTCTTTTGTGCGCGGAAGCGCTTGCCCCGTACATTTTAATTTTTTGGTGTACGAATGGTAATTTTTTGGTGGTATTTTTTAGTCTTGAATAGTTTACAAAGTTTCTAAAAAACGAGTCTAATATTTTTTTTTATTTTTCTCCCGGATAGAGCAATATACTCTCATTAACTATCGCATGTCTTATTTTCATTATCATTAAAATTTTGAAAATGTTAAACGTTAAACATTTTTGACCCTTAAACACATTATTCAAGGTTTTCGTCAATTAAGTTTGTTCTCTAATATTAGACCTTTAATTTTAATCAAATACATTATTTTTGAAATTTTCACTGGTTTTTGCATCTCCTTGAGTGAAATAATTTTGAATAACAAATAAATTATAAAATTAAAAATTAATTAAATAAGATTTTCTCAAAAAGATTCCGAATTTGTTCTTTAAATGTGTTCCTCGAATAGGGAAAAGTTCACATAAAAATATGACATAGGTCCGATTTTCGTTATAAGCTCGGGAATTTCGAACACTGCACAAGTTCAAAATTCTTTCGACACCCTCACGCAACTAAATTATTCAAGTTGGATATTTCTTTCATAATACAAAATATTTCTTAATAATGTTATCACATAATAATTTTTAAATCACTTTACATTAATTTTTTCAAAATAATTTTTACGTCATTATGGGTTCTATGGTGATAGAGGTCAATAAATAATAAAAAAAATAGATTGCTTATGTTTCACAATATTGCAAAATTACACGAAAACACGAACACTAATTTTTGAAAAATTAGATATGACCTTATTTCAAGATCTATCTTTAAATTTGATTGATTAAAGGAAAAAATATTATATATTACAGTTACAGGAAAACGACCAAAAATTCCACGTTTGCAATTTCCGAGAAATCTGGGATTTCAATGATTATTTACCATTACAACGATCTGCACCATTTTCTTAAGTGTCCTTTAGATTATTGAGGACAAAGTTTAATAAAAATGTTGGAGTTATTTTTTAGTAATTTTTGCAAACTTCTTTTGAGGCTTCATGTAAAAGACCATCAAAAATTAAAATATCCATTTGAAACTCCCAAAGCCTCGATTTCGTTCAGATCGATCAGGGAATATCAATTTTGGAGAAAATCATCTGGACGGTCTAGGCGCTAGCGTTGACCACAGGGTCGGACAGAGAGAGCCTTTTTGTCGTTAATAGATTTTTCGGCATCAAGCACCCACAAAACATGTGGATTCTGGCTACACCACGAGTTAGAGGAAGTAATTTACTTTATATAACAACAGGATTTATCTACTTTTTCGTTACCCGAGTTTTTCTTCTGCCAATGCGTGTTTTCCGGCCCACGTTCCCTTGTCTTCTTAAGAAGTACCTTCGTTAAGGCGAAAAGGTAAAATATGGTGGCTGTAGGTTCTCTGAAATTTACTAACAAATTTATTGCAACAAGAAACGTGGGTAATATACTTCATTGAAACCATCTACGAACGGTTAAGGTTAACAAGCAAAAAATAAGACGAAACAAGGTTAGAAACAAATAGAGAAGAAATAGAGACATGAGAAAAATAAAGGAAAGAGAAAGACATGAATGCAGTATAGAATAGGAAGAAGAATAAAGAAGGAAAGAAAGAAACAAGACAATGAAGAGGAAAATGAAGGGAACAGAGGAAAAGAAGAAAACGGAGAAGAACGAGAAGTAACAGAAATAGAAAGTAGACAAGAAGAACGGACATAGAGGGAAGAAGAAAAAACAAAAAAGAGGAGAAGAACAAGAAAAAGGAGAAGGCATATTTTACCTGCAACTTGAGCCGACGAATTTTTCCACGTCCTGCGCCTCCGCCGCCCAACGCAGAGTGTCAGGGTGCACGAGGGCGCCGCCGATCTTGGTGACGATCTTGCCTTTCAGCACGGAGCGAACAGCTTCTTCGCTGGGCGCCACGATGTTGTTGTTCAGCAAGTTGTACTCTTCCAAACTGCCGCAACAGTTCTGCAGCACGGGTACTTGAGTCAACTCATTGGCCCACAGCGTGAGCTCCTTCAAGGCGTTGAGGCTGGAGAAGGTGTTCGCAGGGAGAGTGGTGAGCTTGTTCTTGCTCAGAACCAACTTGCGCAACTGTGGCAACGGCGTGAAAAGGCCGGCCGGAAGATTCCGAAGCTCGTTGAAAGACAGGTCCAAGTATTGAAGGTGCGAAAGCCCTTGGAAGGAACCAGAAGATAACTGTATGTTCGGGTTCATTTGAAGAGTGAGGTCAATAAGTGCACTTAAGTGCGCAAAAGTCCCATCGGGAATAGCTGCGATCTTGTTCTTAAATAGATAGAGGTGTTTCAGTTTAGACATTCTAGAAAATACATCGCTCGGAATTGAAGTGATTAAGTTGCTTTCGAGTCCCAAGAACGTAAGCTCTGCGCAGTTCTTCAGAGGTCCTGCCAAGCTTGTAAGGGCGTTCCCGGACACATCGAGGTTTCGCAGGTTACACCGTTCCGGCAAGAAATCCAACGAAGTCAACCTATTCCTCTCCAGACGCAATCTTGACAAACTTGACAACGACCGAAAATTATTCGTCGATCCCGAAATCTGGTTGTCATTCAGCACCAAATTCTTAATCTCCGGATTGAGTTTCGATGCTTCGGGAAGCCGCGTCAACCTGTTATGCGGCGCGCTCACGGTCACGAAGGCAGTCAGACCGTCGGGGATGTCTTGCAAGAGATTGCCCTGCAGTTGGATGATTGTCGCGTCCGGACAGGGCACGAGCGGAGGAAGCGAGGTCCAGTTCCCGTTCACGCACACCAACACGTGCTCCCGACAGGTGCACTCCGTCGCCAGGGGTCCTTCGGCGACAGCGCTAACCGCCGCCACCAGCGCGGACAGCGCAGCGAGGGCAGTGACCAGTTGCATGGTTGCCAACGGATGACCAACTGATCTCAGCAGCTGCAGTTCGCCTCTAATATCATGGCGATCGCGAACCTTGCTCATGCGTCCCGCTGACCTTTCGGTTCAACACCCGTTCCGATTCTATCGCGTGGCTTTGTCAGTGGGGTCAGTCGCGGCAAGGCTGCGCAAAGTCAAAGACATGCACCAGAGGCTTTGTTTATTCTTTTGTCGGGATGGGTGTTGATAAGTTGTAATCGTATCGTTGGTTTTTCCATAACTTCTAAATAAAACTGGGTTTATCTTCAAAACTAATGATTTCATTTCAAACATTTTTTAACTCATTACATAATTTTCAGAAGTCATTTACGTAAATTCACATTCTTTGAAAGAGTAATTTAAAGAAAAAGTATTTATATGCAATGTTTATTTTCCACGGTGTTTTGTTTGACGATAATTTTGAAAGTTACAGATAGTGTTTTTTCGTAGAAAAGTACCGCAAATCATACGCAATGTCCGATTCTTTCCAAAACTTAAACACATATCTGATAGAGATCCAACTTTTTCGGGAAGTGTAATATATACTTCATAACACTTTTAGTTTACCGGAACTTTCCCTGGCGTCGTAGAATTGAAAACAATAGACTTACCAGATGTCTTCCTTCGGGAGGACAGTTCTTTTGCGCAGCCCGATCTCCGAACATTTGTCAATAATGCAGATCGCCAATATGCCTTCCTTCGTAGACAGTAAATTTAATGTCCCGCATTTCCATAGTATTTAGACGTGTTTTAAAATTTCATGGACTCTAAGGTTAGCTTCAGTTAGTTAAACTTTGTTCCTACTAGGTCTGAGGTTGAAAAGAAGGCAGCATTCATTATCAGGTAAGGATTATTTGCCGTGGATAAAACGCACAACTTATTGATGATTTTTTAAAAGGTACGTTACAAAAAATAAATGAAAAGAAAAGAATCGCTTTTTTTGTGGCGCACGATGATATAACTTTCTCTTCTTACGAAGTTTTCGTTAGGCGACAAAGTAAAAAACAAACAAATATGTGAATTAGTTTGGGTGTCCTTGAAGGTTTAGATAAACGATTTTTTAAAATTTATTTCTGCCTGATCGGCATTTCTGCCTTTCAGAGGTGTTCATTAAACAAAATTCTACACATTAACTTTTAGGGATGGACATCCGCATGCGTTACCTCCTCTTCTAGGGGTCTGGTGATACATTGTACTTTGAGAAGAAACTGTGGACGACAGTTTTTGGTATTATTTGTGATAATTTCGAAGGGAGGGTGTTAGTGGGTGGAATTCTAGGAAAGGGGAAGATGGGTAAATGATTTAAGGTGGACGAAGGGAATCTTCAAGGAATTGTGATTCTCTGGGTGGAATTCTCTTTGATGAACTGTACGTTTTACCTAGTTGGAATATTGTTATACTACGAGATTGGGGATGGAATGTGAAGAATTTATATAGTCGTTAATGGATAATATATTTAGTTCATTTTGGATATGCATGTTGTTTATGAACCAAGGAGCTTTAATGCCCTTTCTGAGAAATTTATTTTGTATTATTTCTATTTTATTAAGGTTTGTTCGTGCGGCGTTATTCTAGATCGGGCAGGTATATGTGAGCGTTGGTCTTATTATTGGATATCGTTTAGATATTTTTGTATAAGCATTATCTGCTATAGATTTCATATGCTGCTTCCAGTTTAGTTTCGTGCCAAGTGGTACTCCTAAGTATTTTGCTGGTGTATTTCTATTCATCCATTCTATATTTGTGTTTTAGTAGCAGACGAAGGGGGGGTGAGGAAAATTTCGGATTGTGAAAATTTTGGCTTGAGTTTTAGAAGCGGTTATCTTTATTTTCGAGTTTGTGGTCCATTTAATGAAATTATTTAGGTCAATCTGTATGCTGTCGAAGGCCGAAATTCCATAGTTAGCTAATGTCTGAATGAGAGGTAAAAAGTGCTGTGTCATCTAAAGGGCATTTTTTGTATCGTCTAACTGTGGTAAATCCGACATGTAAAATTGTGAAAGGCAAGAAAGGCAAGAACCTGTTAATTTGAAATCTGTTTGAGTGGCTTAAGTTAATACGTTCCGAAAAAATCTATCTTTTAGAAGACTTCTTATTAGATGGAGTAGATACTTGGGAGTTACTATTTGGTACAGTTTGTACAAAATACCATGATGCCAGAGTTTATCAAAGGCTTCCTCAATGTCAAGGAAAACTGCAATTGTGTATTTCTTGCTGTGAAATGAATTTGCGATGTATTCTGATAATCGAAGCAGTTGGTGGGTGGTGATATGTTGTGCTCTGCATACGAACTGAAAGTCAGAGATAGCGCTAATTTCATTTACGTATGTAGATAATCTGCTGTGAATTTATTTTTCAAATACCTTTGCGATTGGGTAGGAGAGTTATCGGCCTGTAGCTTGTAGGAAAGCGAGGATCTTTTCCTGGTTTACAAAAGGGTAAATTTATATAGAATTTTCAATTTTTTGGAAAGTGGCCCAGTCTTAGACAGGAATTAAATAAGGCGGTTAAAATAGCTATTGCTCTTTTGGGCAATTCTTTAAGAGCTCTGTTGTTAATATGATCGTGACCTGCTGATTTTTGGTTTTTCAATTACTTATTGTTACTGTTACAATTATTGTTTAGGTCTCCTAAAAGAACAACGTTGGAGTTGTATTTAAATATTTCTTTGTATTCTTTTACTGGAAATTGTTTATTCGAAGGTTTATAAGCTGGTATTATTGTATAATCTTTATTATTTATGGTTACGGGAACTTAAACAGTTTCCAGGTGAGATGTGCTGGGGCTAAGTGGCAGTTGATGTTTGATTCGAGTTGAAAGAGCAATCAAAATAACCCCCGCTGCAATATTTGAAATTCTGTCACTTCTATACATTTTATAACCAGAAATTGTGAATTTTTCGTTTAGAATCAAGTGGATTTCAGTTATGCATGTGACATCGATTTTGTGTTTGTGAAGAAAAATTTCTATTAGTGATTCTTCTCTTTTAATTCCGTTGGCAATCCAGTTCATTAGAATGATTTTATTTGCCATTATGGAAATTTACTGCCACTGACTGTAAAATATTTTGAATTTACGGAATTATAGCTGAGATCACTTGTGATACTATTGTGGTAATTAGTTGGGAAACATCAATTGGCATTTGGGATTGCAAAGATTGGACTGGTGACCATGGTGCACTGCGTTTGTGAAGGGAAGGAGGAGGAGGCAGTTGGTGGGCTGCGAGTGGTATTGTTGCGAGGCGGCGGTTGTTGCTCTGACTTTGACCTACGTTCCTTTTGAACATTTGAACGTGCTTGCTGAATTTCCTTGAAAATGCGACAGCTTTGGTAATTTGTCGTGTGTGTTTCTCTCCGCAGTTTACGCAATTCGATTTCCCACTTTTCGGTTTTGCGCATTGTAATGATGTGACTCTTTGCATCTAACGCATCTCGAAGTGAGTCGGCAGTTTGCATGCAAGTGTCCATACGTTTGACAACGTTTACCAGAGAGTATATATCGTTTACATTGTATTGGGTGATTTCGTTTAGTTCTAGGTTGATTTGAATGACGCAATGCATAAGGCGGTTTAAATTGAATATTGATTTTGCCTCTTTAGTGTCTTTTATTTCTAAAGCACAAATTTCGATGGTTTCTTTTTCCAATAATATGGTCACTTTGGTAATAGGGTATTTGAGTTCTTTTAAAATGTCAGCTTCTGAGTAGCATGTGGGAATGCCATTCAGCACAACATTAAAGGTTTTCATAGAAGGGTCGCGGAAAGAATAGAATTGTGTACTCTTCTCTACACTGTAATGTCAAAATATTACGGAAATCTTCTATTGCAGTAAGCATGATTTTTAGTTGATCACCGCTTGTCTTGGTTGTGAAAAACCATTTGGCGACTGATTTAGTTTCAGAAATCATTTGGTTGTAATCAACAACGTTGTGCATAATTATGAGAGGAATTTTTATAGTTTGTTCTGAAGTATTTAGATCACAGTCTTTAAGATTTCGAAGCTCTTCGAAACGCAATGAAGTTGGAACATTATATAATGGCATAGAGCTTTCATCATCATTTCTTTTTCGTTTCCTTCCGTTTGAAGGCGTTTCGTTTGATGTTGTTGCATACATCTCCTCATTAGAGTGTTCCTGAGGTAGGGTTGTTTGTGGTGGTTGCTGTGCACAGAACTTTGAAGCTCACGTTGCTGGATTTGATAAAGTAGCATTTGGTTTTGCTGTGTTTGTTCCTGAAGCTGATTTTGCGTTACTTCATATTGCTGTAGTAGTTTCTGGTGTTGTTGGTGAATTTTTGCGAATTCGTCCTCCATATTTGTGGAATCACTGTTTGGGTCTATATACATTTCTTCTGCATTTTCATTGTTTAATATTTGCACTGACCTGGTGATGAGTCTCCCTAGGGGGACATCGCCGCTTAACATGTGGTTCACTTCACTAATAATTCTAATTTCACTTTGGCTACAAATCTGAACAAAAGTTTTAAGGTACATTGTCGCATCTTCAACCTGGTACCGGCTGCCCCGGGTTCTTATCTAGGCACTGCGATAAGCACAAACTACCCTCGGAGCGGCAGGCACGTCTACTCGCGGTCGCTGCAACGACTGAACTGAAAGATACGGAGATAAACGATGCTCTGAAATCTATGTTCACTTTAAGGAATATGTCTGGCAACAAAATGTTTCTTCATTCAGTTCATCCTTTCTCTTCAGGGTAGAAATGCACCAGTAAAAGCGCCCTTTCTCCAAGTAATGGATTTTTTTTTATTTATTTAAGATCGCATCAACTACTAGGTCATTAGCGACCACTATTGTTTGTAACGGTATGGTAACTGTGGGTTGACACGATAATGATGATGATAGGGGGTGAAAGGACGAAACACAATACAACCATGCCCGAGGCGGGACTCGAACCCGTGATCCTTCGGTCCGAGTTCGCTACGGCACTACTGCCTTAGCGATCTCGGCCACCGGATCGGCAATCGAAATTTTGTACAGTAGAAAAAATACATTTACAAAAGACTTTACGATGATAAAATATAATTTTCAATAAACTCATAATGAGCCATTAAATTTTGTATAGTGTTCCAATTATTTACTAAGGAAAATACCATTGCCTGAAAAGTACTGCAAAGAGTAACTCTTTCT